CCACCAGCCTCGCGCCCCCCCTTGCTCCTCCGGCTGCTTCCCCTGCACCCCGCTAGCTATGCTACTGGTGTGGAACTCAAGGATGGAAAAGAAAGGAACCAAACTGGCTGTGTTGTGTGGATCTTCAGCCCTGGCATAATGGGTGAGGGCTGACGTTCATTGGCAGGGATGGAGGGGATAAATTAAAATCCAGGACAGGAGCCGTTTATTTAGATATAAAGTCTATTTCCCTCTCGAGGCCCACAAGCCACACTGTTCTTTGCTTCTGTGCAATGTGTTTTGCTTTGCAGACCCAAGGACAGACCCCTGGCTCCTGGTTTACTCTCCACTTCCAGTCACCCTGCTCTTCACTCTCTACCTCTTATTTGTGGCACTGGGACCACACCTCATGCAGAAGTGGGAGCCACTGAGGCTAAAAGGTCTGCTGACTGCCTATAATTTGACCCTGGTGGTTCTGTCAATCTATATGTTCTATGAGGTAAGGATAATCGATCAGCTCCATTTGGATAAACATTTTGGCAGGGGGGATTTGAAGCAGGAGCCCTTTAAACTCCTTCTCTGATGAACAGGTGACTGTGATATATTTTCATTCTGCCACTAGAGGGCACATTCTACTCAGTTAAATATGTATTGTGGTGAAGCCTCTATGGCAGAGGTTCTCAAAATGAGGGGGCACAGAATGTATTCTGGGTGGGGGCATGAGAAGCTTTAGGGGAAAAAACTTACTGTGCACATTCAGAGCTGGGTGGCTGGAGAGCAGCAGCTGCTGGCTAGGCGCTCAGCTCTGATGGCAGCACTGCTGCCAGCAGCAGCACAGAAGTGAGGGTGGTATGGTATTGCCACCCTTACTTCTGTGCTGCTGCAGGTGGTGCTGACTTCAGAGCTGGGCACCCGGCCAGCAGCTGCCACTCTCCACTCTGCCTTCAGAACTGGGTGGCCGAAGAGTGGCAGCTACTGGCCGGGTGCCCAGAAGGGGGTGGGGGAGGCATAAACTACTACAGATACAAAGAAGGGGGCGCGATCAAATATGTTTGAGAACCACTGCTTTATGGGTATTTCTATACTGCAGTTAGACACCCATGTTAGGGAAGGTTGCAACATGGGGTATGTCTATACCTCAACTAAAAACCCATGGCTGGCCTGTGCCCACTGACTCGGGCTCAGGCTAAGGGGATGCTTAATTGCAGTGTAGATGTTCCGGCTCGCGCTGCAGCCTGAGCTCTGGGACCCTCCCACCTCTCAGGGTCCCAGAGCCCAGGCTGAAGCCTGATCCTGAATGTCTACACCACAGTTAAACAGCCCCTTAGCCTGAGCCCCGCACGCCTGGGCCAGCCATAGGTTTTTAGTTGTAGTATAGACATACCCTATACGGCAAACACAATTTCTTCCATGTTTCAACCTTCCTTAATACACCATCCCTTCGAGTTTTAGAGAAGTAATGCTGGTGAAAGGTCTCTGAATTATAAACCTGGAATATAAAATCCGCTATGTAGCA